TATATACCAGAATCACTAAATAGCTCCAACATGATGCAGATAACCCGGATACGGTGGTCCCATTTTTCATCTGAGGTGTGTAGACAAGCACAAATCAGCTGTAGCATTCACTTTGCCATACAGTTTATACTTTCTTTTTTCTAATTTACTACGTGCATCCCAAAGATGGATTGAGATGTGATCAACAATAGCTTGTACTCTCTTATCTTCAACTTAAAGGGTTAATTTTGCTGTATAGACTTTTGTTTGGTAGCATAACTTGCAAAGTAAAACCATCTCTGTTTATGTTAGTAGAGGTCCTTTGAAGAACCACATAAGCATCATCCTCATCTGTGTCAACTTTTAAGTTTATCTATCTTGGTGGCTCTTTCATCTTCCTTTGTAGGTCAGTCAGTCCTGAATGTTCCTCAAAAAGAAAGAAAATGTCCTGCTTTCATTTTGACTTGCTTGTTGTACTTCTTATGGAGGTAGTCACTTCAGATTTATTACACTTTAATTCACAACTATAAATTTTGTGTGATAGGTACAGTAACAGCAACATTATAGCGTGTTTTGATACTGTCCTGAAAGCGTGCAATAGGATAGGTATGTATTTGCAATAAACAGATTTGATTCTCAGATTCCTTAAATTACAGGATTCCTGATATCCAGTGAAAACCTAGCTTGTTCTCAAAGTGTGAAACAGATATGTGGAGTAGTTTCTTAATTGTGTGAAATGCTCTTTGGATTCTGGAGGGACTGTCTTCAGGATATTATACTACACATAGACTAGATTTAAAGCTTAAAGGCAAGCCTTAATTACTTTTAAGCTCCCACACGACTTCATTGCACGATTATACGCCTGAGTACTTCTGTATCTTTTTGATAACTTATTTAAATCATCATGGCGCTCACACAGAGCCACAGGCACAGCTTAGAAGATCCAGATAAGTTGCCATCCTCCAACCATGTGCCCTCTTTTTATACCCAGTAATCTTTCACAAGCTTTTTACACGTGCATCGTTTGCACATTTCTTTCTCACACTGGTAACTCACTCCCCTTGACATTTTAATTTTAATTTCCCTCCTCAATTTTTCTCTTTTAAAAATATTTATTTCTTCTGTACTTTCTCCCCATCCCCCCATTGTTGTCTCAGCATG